CTTCGTATCATGTCACGTGATAAGTGCTGAGTGAGAGCGTCAATGATCAGTGATCAGTGATCAGAGCACCCGAAACAGAACGGAGGGCATCAGTGATCACTGATCAGAGCAACTGCAACGGAACGGAGGGCATCGCTGATCAGGACACCCCAAGCGGAAGGGAAAGCGAGAGCACAACTGACCAGAACACCCGAAACGGAACGGGAGTGAACGGAACGCATTAGCGGCTAGCCGAATCGCGATTCCGGCCAAACATGGCCTCAAGAAATAGGTCACAGGTCAAAGGTCATTTGGGTCAGGAATATGAGATTTTCAGAGTAGGTGTCAAATTAATTGACTCGAGGGTCCTGAAAGTTTCGTCGCGATCGGCCGCTTTTTACGCAAGTTATTCTCGAAAAAAACGAGGGGGTTGTTCGTTCGACCCCCCCCCCCTATACGGGCGAGGGATAATTTATTAAAAAGCTAGGGCCTTCTTAATCCCATCTACCAGCTTCAGAACATGTATTGGGCAGATCTGGGAATACCGTATCTTAAATTTATCCCTAGAGGTGTGCCAAGGTATCCTTTCATTCATCTTGGCTTTCCATCGGCCGAACGCTTCGTGTTTAAAAACCTTTAGAAACTAATTGAAATGAATAATTGGCGGTAAGATTATTGCAAAGGCATGAGAAATTAACGTAAAATACATCATTACCGGTCTTATAACCTCATTTCGCGTATGAAACCTGCCAGAGTCCACAGAGTTTCATATTCATCCCTAGGGTGTGCCAGGGTGGCGTGTCAGTCATCTTGAACCCCTGCCCGACCCGACGCCTCGAGTTTTAAAGACATCTAAAAACTAATAACGTAAACAATTTGTGGTGAAATTGATATAATATGATCAGAAAAGAACGCAGAATAAATTAGTATCGGTCTCAAAACATTATTTTGCCTATGAAACCAGCCAGAGCCCGCGGAGTTTTAAATTCATCCCTAGGGTGTGCCCAGGGTGGCTTTTCTCATCTTGGACCTCTACCAGGCGCGACGCCTCGAGCTTTAAAGTCCACTAGAAGCCATTGACGGACATAATTTGTGGCGAAATTAATGCGATAGGATCAGAAATAAACGCAGAATAAATTGGCATCGGTCTCAAAACATTATTTTACCTATGAAACCAGCCAGAGCCTGCGGAGTTTTAAATTCATCCCTAGGGTGTGCGCAGGGTGGCTTTTCTCATCTTGGACCTCTGCCAGGCCCGACGCATCGAGCTTTAAAGTCCTCTAGAAGCCATTGACGGACATAATTTGTGGTGAAATTGATACAATAGGATCAGAAATGAATGTAGAATAAGTTGGTACCTGTCTCATACCCCTATTTTGTATATGAAAGAAGTTAGAGCCCACCAAGTTTTAAATTCATCCCTAGGGTGTGCCAGGGTGTGCCCAGCTGACTGCGGGTCCAAAGATGAAAATTTTGTAGGCGTATCCTGCGCAACTTAGTCAAAAGCGAATTGCAGAGGTAGTGTTTAATTTGCGCAAGCAGCGGCTCATCCGTTTTGCGTTGGCAGCAAACCACTAATCATAGTTGTTATGAATATCCAAAAGCATTCATTCGGAACACAAACCTGGTTTTTACAAACAGTTGAGGTGATCAAGGTCATTCAACGCATATTTGTAGGGCCTTGATATTTGTTATGAATTAAAATGAAATCGGACTTACTCCACAAGAGTTCGTTGGGTCGGAGCTTTCGAATTGTATTACAATTCTTCGTCAGCGAGAGTCGTATCGGATGTTAAGATCGAATCGATGGTACAGTGCGGATCGAACAAAATATTTTGTTCGATCCGCACTGTACCATCGATTCGATCTTAACATCCGATACGACTCTCGCTGACGAAGAATTGTAATACAATTCGAAAGCTCCGACCCAACGAACTCTTGTGGAGTAAGTCCGATTTCATTTTAATTCACAATTCATCTCCACATCATGTCTTTAAAAGCATATTTGTTATTAACAGCTGGAAGTGTGCAAGGTTATTTTCTTTCGTTGTCAGTCAGGGTGAGTTGTTGGGTTTGTGCCTTGATTTCGCATCTTTTTTCATAGGCGCGGGAGCCGGGGGGGCAGTGGGGGCAGCTTGCCCCCCCAACTCTGGGGCCGTGGGGGCGTGCCCCCACAGCTTTGAGACGGAATACCACTCTTTTTTTGCAAATGTTTTCTTTTTTTGTTGAAAAAGCCGAGGGGTGAAAAATAAGTGGCCTAAAACCGATGAGAAAACTAGATTTGGGGGTACCCTAGGTTGATCTCTATTATGGTGTGCCCCCCCCAGTCGGAAAGTAGTTCCCGCGCCCCTGTCTTTTTTTCATGGAAATTATGTATTATGTAGCAAACCTATAAGTTCTAACTATCTATATGGCGCTGCTATGGTATATCTGATAATCTGGCTGTTAATTGTTGAGCATGAGTTGAGCATTTTTCAAAGATGAAAGAATTCCAATTTACCTGGTTTTGGGGATGAAAATATTTTGCCCATTAGGTGTGATTTTCCACCCAAAATTCCGAAAAATGGAACACTGGTCCCCAGAGCCGCTCCAGACCCCACCAGAACTCGCCGTCCAGCTCGCCGAAGCCCCACTTGTAGTGGTGCCAGTCGAGGTAGAAGTTCTGTCTGGGCTGGATGTCGTCGCGCCGCTGGATGACGGTCCAGCCGCCGTCGTCCCCGTCCAGGTCACAGAGGGCGGCCACCGGCCGGTCCAGGCCCGGGTACAGGATGTGCACGCCGCTGCTGGCTCCCGCAGGCAGGTCACTGCAGTCCCTCAGCGGAGCCGCTGTCACCCTTCCCACCTGGCTCTGGAGGGCGCTCAGCTGTGCGGTGTGAGCTGCCAGACCTTCGGCGACATCAGCGAGCCCTTCGGTCAAACCGGACCCAAGTCTGGCCAGTTCAGCACTCTGTTCCGAGAGCTGAGCGCTTTGTTCCGAGAGCTGGGTACCCTGAGACGCCAGCGTTGATCGTAGCTCGACCATCTGCTCTGTGACAGTCTCATTGTGCGCAGCCAGAGCGGAGGTCTGGGCGTCCAGTCCAGCGTCCAGTCTGGACTGCAGACTGTTCAGCTGACTGGCCAACTGAGCGATCTGCTCAGTCTGTGTGAGACACTGGCTCTGTGCTTCAGAGAGTCTCTGACTCATGCCGGTGACCACCTCCCTGGAGACCGCCCTCACCGTACCGTCGAGAACGCTGCGCATGTGGTCCAGAATGCCGTCCACGGTGCCGTCCAGGCCTCCCCCTTCTGAGGCGCCTTCGTAGCCCACTGGTTCATCGAGCACCGTATCGGCCGAAGCAGTTCGGCAGATGAACAACAGAAGGACGGCAATCACCGAGCTGCCGCCCACGAAGGTCTTCATCTTGAAGATGGAGGTGAAGGCAATGTCTTCCACACAATCTGACTCTCAGACGATGACTGAGTAGCTGAAGGACCTCGGGGTGGGATTTATAAACGGCACCAGCAAAGTTTATTCGTTTGCAGGTTCAGTGACGTAGTTTGCTCTTGGCATTCCCAGGCGGACTTAAGAGTTTATTTGAGAAGCGATACGTGCTTCAGGCAAGCGTCTGGAAAGTCATAACTTGTATGTGGATTTTCCCAAAGACGTTCGTGTCAGCGTTTCGGTGTGTATGAGTATTGTTTATGCTTGGGGTTCCCGGTGATCGTGGCGCTACATTTTGTGGCCTGTTTAATGTTTATGGACAGCTAAATGCTTGTACACAAAGATAGACATGAAGAAGTCTGTCTGTAGGTCAGGGTCGTTGAGATCTGTTGGATAGCGTGTCTACCTACTCTCCAGTTTTTTTTTTGTCAAATATACTAATAAAAACTGCCAAACAATCAAATATAACGTTCTATGAATAGTTACTGCTCTTCCCAAATGTTTTACTTTTTCTTGGTCACTCAAAGTCCATTACATACATTCTTTGACGGTGCCGCTGGCTTGTGGCGTCATCTGTGCGGCTGTGCGCCATTATTCGTATTAGTGACTACCGCATATCCCGTCTGCGGCTCGCCCGCCATTGAGCTGCGATACAACCTTCCGTGATGAGACGACGAAAGTTCTGAGCAGGTGTGAGCCCATTCTTCTGGAGAGAGCTCTCACGGGCCGCGCACGGGTCTGAGTCAGCGTCATTGGCGTGACGGAGCCGCGAGCCCGCCGAGGTCGTGACCCACTGTTACCGCCACCGGACTGTTACGCCATCCGCTTCGTCTCATTCCTGGGATATAATCCGGCATCACCTCCGTGATTAGGAACTGCTCCACAATTAAACAGATCACGAAGCTCGAAATTGGGTGTAATGTTTTATTGAATGGGCGCGTAATATTCCAGGGAATTTGTGTTGCCCCTCCCTTCGTCGTTTTCACCTGACCTGACCGCCAAGCGGGATCAGCCGGTGCTGCTCAGCTGAATTGGAAACCAAATTGTCCTTTCTCATCCCAGTCTACACACCAACGAGAAGTGCACTACCACTCAGTAACTAAGGGAAAACGACTCTGTAACTCACACCCGGGGTCTCCTTGGCAACGGCCAAACTGACACCCGGCACGATCCACCAGAACATAAGGCACTTTCATTACAGCAACAATGTATGTTGGAAATCGCACTTGTGTGGTGACATTATCAGGCGGTTCTCGCGAACATGATACTAATAGAACCACTTACCACCACTAGCGCGCTGTGTGCGCCTGGCCCAGTATGACTGCCTACACCCACACCCACCGACATCTGAGCTAATGGCACAGGTGTCATCCTTTTCTGCTGCACAGATCTTATCTGTTTCTGCTATCATTATTCCTCGCTCGGCTCGGCGACTGTCCCGGCCTGTGTCTTCTGTTTGCCTGTAACTATGTGCCTGCTGTAGGCTTTGCGGGGTTTGTTACCTGTCGTCGCACCTTTGCACTTACACTGTGCTTTCTCATACTTATCCTCTTACTAAGCACTTCCCTCGCACCTGACCCATGTCTCTTTGTGTCGGCAGGCGAGCGGCTCAGTCCGTACGTGCGTCACCACGAGCGGCTCGACTACGGCCGGGCGGCGGTGGAAGCGCGCCACCAGCGGGTGCGACGCGCCACCAACGCCGCCGCCGCGCCGCCGCTGACGCTCGAGTTCGAGGCGCTGCAGCGGCCGTTCCGGCTGCGGTTACGGCGAGAGGCGCGCGTGTTCTCGGCGGACGCCGTGCTCGTGGGTCCGTCGGGACGCTACGAGCCGCTGCAGACGGACCACATCTACGAGGGCCACCTCGAGGGTGAGATGGTGACCCGAGGAGTGCGACTCTAGAGGGGGATGAGCAATGAGCATGGTGTGTGTGTGGGGGGGGGGGGGGGCGAGACATCGGGCATAACCCCAGGGACTGGGAAAGTTGGATGGCGATGTGAGATAACGTCTAACTTAAATGTCGCTGAACTCATCGCATTTCTTGAGGGCAGTGATTATAGTCTTCTTAACGCCATCGCGAAGCAATACAGTTTCGAAGATATCATAACAAGGCTAGTTATGTAATCGTACTCCTATACTGACCGCAATTCATGACTCTTGAGTGTCTCAGTTATGCATCAGGTAAAACAACTGCGCAACAATGCTGTCCGGTACTGCAAACTTACAAAAGTGGCCGCATTATCAGTATCACGAAACTATTTGAAGGCGTCGGCACGCGATGGCTTGTGTCCTGTTGTGCTTGCGGGCTGGCCTGGCGCCTCTGGGTTGGATGGGCTCTGGAGCTCCATAACCTTTGAAGTGGCCTGGTGGCCGCTATGACCGTCGCCTGACTGCGTTTCTGTCCCTTTTCAGGTGTTCCAAACAGTTTTGTGCACGGCTCAGTGCACGACGGAGTGTTCCAGGGCAAAATCGAGACGCCAGATGGGAATTATTACGTGGAGAAGGCGCATCACTACTATCCTCATAACCACTCATCGTCATTTCATTCTGTGATATACTCAGAAGAGCATATAGAGGACCCGTTCCAGCACTTGGAGCGAGGTAGAGGTGAGTCTTTTATACCGGATACGTTATCAGGAACGCGGGCGGATAGAGAGAATAGATTCATCCGTCTCTGAAGTCACTAAAGTAGCTGCTATAGTTTGACAATTTGCGTCGCCTTTGTACGTGTTTTGACATCAGCCTGGGACTAGTTAAAAAAACATCCGCGATCTTCAGTAGGAAACTCGTCAGCACTGCCATCGTTCCTCTTTGATCCATCTCTGTACCCGATAATGAGCACATACTATTCACCAGCCGCCCCTCTCATCAGCTCCCGGCCTAATGAAGCTCCGTTACCTCACGCAGGTCCGTTCGGCGGCTGCGGCGTCGATGGTGACGTGTCTGAATGGATGCACAAAGTACAAAACTCGGCCATCGACGACGACGAGACAGAGTTTCGGGCGGCGGCAGAGGAGCGCGAGCACCGGCGGCGGGAGCGCGAGCGGCCGAGCGCCGCCCGACGCGTGGCGCACGACGCCAGGCACTACAAATACACGGAGGTGAGCGGACGGGTAGCGAGGACGGAGGGGGGGGGGGGCAGTGCTCGGGGGTTTGGTTAGCAGGCTGGTGGGGAAACCGGGGAGTGGAGGGGTTACACGGAGAGAACTGAGCGCCGGCGTGGCGAACAGATGAACAGAATATGGCAGGTGTTGCTTTGGGAAGCCATCTTCAAACGCGATTTGTTATGTGAATCACTGCAGCTGGGGTTTGGTATTAGCGTTATGGTCCATGTATCTTGCAAGCACGTGAGACATTGTGCCCGCGGTACTGCTGGCGCTACCCAATTTATCGAGGTGAAGGTTATCGCGGACGGTCAGAATGGCAGAACCACCGCTCTCATTGTCGGCTGCCGCTGACATTTGCATTGTACCGTCTCTGTGCATTAAACACGAACGTCCCCATCGACACGGCTATAGCAGTTGCTGGGCCCTAAAATGCGGCCCCAAATAAACACTGTCACGGAGCAGCGTCGGCCAGTGAGCTGGCGACCGGGATGACCAAATACTGGACAGTGGGCAGCCCCGAGGGTGACTCATGCGCCAGAGACACTGTCGACTCGGTTGGGTCATACACTGCGGTGGAATGGTCGCAACCGTCATGTTTGGGGTGTCAAGATTAGTTATTGTTTTTTTTTGTCATAAATTCATCCGTCGTGTTGAGACGACTGTTTCGATTTTTTTGTCCCTGAATGTGAATTAGACTTTGTTCATGAATGCGAATTAGACAAGGTCACCTGTCCATTCCACTCTTAAGAATTATCGGCACCATTGCTACATTGTGTTTGGTTTATTGTGTTCAGTCAAGTATGAGCGTGCAACAGGCAGCATTGCAAACGTGGGAAAAGCCAGCTGCTCTTTGTCTCGGCGTCTTTGGAATCCAGCGTGTATTGGCGCTGAGGTTCGCCTCCGAATGTTCGTCTTTGCTTGTCCTTCTGCCCGGTTGAGTTCAGTGTCGATTATCTCTGACATATTCCGTTTATAAGAGACTCATCAGAGACACTCCTTCCCCTGCACGGTTGCCAGTTACCACCGTCCCACCCCATCAGCTGACCCCATCGCCGCCCGCAGGAGGCGCAGCGCCACCTGGACGCCGGCCGGTCGCGGTCTCGCCGGGCTCCCCGCCAGGGCGGCGCCACTAGTCACCTGCCCGACAGCCGAGGCACTTGCAGTCTGTCGGTGGAGACAGACCCTATGCTGTGGCGGCATGTGTTCGAGAAGGAGGGTGGAGACGACCGGCGCACTCGCGAGGAACTCACGTCCATGGTGGCGTCACACGTCAAGGCCGTCAACCGCGTGTACGACAAGGAGCAGTTTGACGGCAGTTACGCCCACCGGGGAATACAGTTCGAGGTGCAGCGACTCAAGGTAGGAGAGTCGAGCACTACAGCGGGAGTGGTGATGATGGGGTGGATAGGGTGACAGGGAGGGTATTGGTGGCATTAGTGTGTAGCTGGTGTTGGTGGGAGTGGGCAGAGTAGGATGAAAAGTGGATGCATTGTGCCGCTAAGTCGTTACACGTTAGAGTCCGGTTTTATTGAGCAATAAATTAGTACTCAGTGTGCCTAGCTGTTGGTGAAGGGCTACGCTCGTGACAACGAGCGTGGTGCCATCTGTAGTGTACCCGATTGAGCTATGTTGATGGAAACGGCTGACAGCGACATTGCTTTACCCCGTCCGCTTTAATATTGATGACACCTCTGGGATATTACTAGCCAAGATTACTTTACTAATGATTGCTAGCGGCACATGTCATGATATGCGGGTCTCTCGTAGATCACCACGCATGAATTTTCTCAACTTTGTGCCGTTCTTCTCAGATTGATGACGACAGCACATGTCGACCATCGTATCGCGGCCGGGACCGAAACAAGTTCTGTGTTCCTAACGTGGACGTGTCCAACTTCCTGAACCTTCACTCGGAGGACGACCACGACGCCTTCTGCCTGTCCTACGTGTTCACCTACCGCGACTTCAACAAGGGCACCCTGGGCCTGGCCTGGGTGGCCTCGCCCGCAGGTCAGTGGCGCTCAACAGGGAAGGGTCGTGGATGGCTGGCTACCAGGGAAGGTCGGAATAAAATAAATGAAACAACACTGCACTTGTTTCCTTTTAGGTTACTGTATGCTTTGAACAGGCAGTAACTACTTGCACAAAACTTTGATTATTTCCTATTGTAATTTCATCTCCTGTTGTGCATTGCGATTGACAGTCTCTTTTTCTCGTTTGTTTTTTTCTTCCGAAATTGACCCGCCTTTCTCCATCGTCTCGCGACTAACTGGCGACTCTGATTGGTGCCCTCGACAGGTGCGTCGGGCGGCATCTGTGAGCGTTACAAACCGTTCGCGGACAACATCGGCGGCTCCCAGCGCACCAACAAGCGCTCCCTGAACACTGGCATCATCACGTTCGTCAACTACCACTCGCGGGTGCCGCCGCGCGTCTCGCAGCTGACCCTGGCGCACGAGATCGGCCACAACATGGGCTCACCACACGACTGGCCGAGCGACTGCACACCCGGCGGGCCGAACGGGAACTACATCATGTTCGCCAGCGCCACCAGTGGCGACCTGCCCAACAACAGCAAGTTCTCCGAGTGCAGCCGGCGGAATATCAGCTCCGTGCTGGACGCCATATCGTCGGGAAAGAAACGCGACTGCTTTACGAGTGAGTACCGCGATCGTTTTAGTGGTTTGGCGTCCTATTTGTCGTGCGGAGTGGGAGCTGGGGTGGGGAGAGGGAGACACCTTTAGACGCCAGAGGCTTTGTTATGGAGTTCTGGAACTCAGTATGCCCCGTCAGACCGATTGTCAACGTTTAGACAAGCACGCTGACATTGGCACGACAGCTGCGCGAAATTAAAGTTACGTGGCGTGCGCGATAACGGGTTACAGAGCGATCAACGCCTGACAAGCCGCTTCAGACGGCTATTTCTGTTGTGAATCCGGCTGTAATGCCGGACTTATGTCGGGCTCGAATCCGCCGTTCTTAGATCCCGGGTGTATCTGATCGCCGGGGGCTGAGGCGCCACCTGAATAGTTGATGTTTGATGAGTAGACCGTCATCGGGGCTGCGGCGCGGATCAAAGCCATCGGCAGAGGCGTCGCTCGTCAATGACCCTCTGTGCCAGCAGGCCGCGGGCCGGCCGGTGGCGCGGATCGTCCGCGAGTAGTGGCCGATTGAGGCGTCCGTCTGCGGCCCTCTGCAGGCTTCCGGCCCTCTGTTGACACTGTGCTCACACTTTCAAACCGATTGGCCAGCCCTCCTTGAAAAGACGATACCGGGAATTCTGCCGCCGGGCGCTAGCCTTAGAACGTTTGGTGGGGTTTCTAGTTCAATGTGAGTCGTTCAAACCCCTGGGGCACTTATAAGACTTACCTCGGCGCCACGGCATTTGTGGTATGGCTTGTTTTGATAATTTTCGCTCGACGATAGAAAAGGCCTAATCTGAGTCAAAATTAGTTGGCCTGCGGGTACTTTCCAAGCGGATCAAAATACATCTTGGAAGGGTTTATGTAAAGCGTAATGTTATATAATCCAGGTCAACCTGAAATGTTCAAGTTAACCCTCTCGTCGTTTTTCTATCGAACATCACAAAAGTTGTGCTGGATAACTGAACTGTTTTGTTTTTAGAAGTAGAAGTTGAACAACGTTACATAAATGCTGACGTAATATTTCTGTAAACAGTGTGGTAAACAAGCGATGTTCACAGCAGCGTATAGTCAGTGGGCATATTTTCCAACATCTTACAATGGGAAGATAGCATGTAGGATATTGCACTATATGCTGCCATATTCACTACTCTCCTAGGAGGTGATGCATGCCTCTCGCTCTCCGAAGGCTGTGCCAGAGTCACACCACCAGGGAGGTTACGTCACAATGACGTCATCCTGCTGCTCTGCCGCTAATGCAGCGTGACAAGTTGGAAACGGGAGTGCTGGCGGGTGGCTCCCTGCGGGACGGAGTCGGGACGGAGGCTCGGCCGGCGGCGGACAGTGACCCGTGCTCAGGCACCGGTTGATCTGCCGCGGGCTAGCTACGAACGTCTGGTCGACCGCGAGAGCTGAGAGCTGTCCATCCCCTGTTCTTCCTCCTGGCTAGGCATTTGGCGAATTGTATTCGCCATCACGTCAGACTCATGCACTTATCCACTGTTTTCATTCCCGCAGCCTCACTGCAGCTCATTCATTCAACATACCAGAGTGAAAGTGGTCTGATGGGGGTGAATGGCTCCGGACCTTCCGGACTGATGGGATGTCACTGCCACTCGGCGGAACCATATATAGACCTGTCGTCGGCCGGTGACCGCGCGGCACTGACCTTTCCCTGTCCCTGTCATAGGTCTCCATCAGGGCTGATCTGTGCCGTGCCGTCTGTTTGTCTGATAACAGACCGGGTGCCGGGGCGACCCGGCCACGGCTGGCATCTGACTGGGTTGGTGACGGCAATTAGTGTCACGGCCCGTCCTATCCTTTGGTGATGACTGAGTGGTTATGCTGGTAATGGTGCACCCGGTAATAGGAAGAATGTGATTGTGCTCAACGTGTCTCAACATTTACTTTTCTATTGCTACTCAACATAGGGAGAATGTTGTGACGGCTGAGACAGGGCGGTAGGGTTTGACCGCGGCTGATGCGAGTCAGGATCGGACTGCGGACCGACGACGCTGTGGTAGAGCATGCTGTCGCTGTGGCGACCAGACGCAGTGATCTCCAGTCCATCATGGTTGCATGATCGCCGACCAACTCTCATAGCCAGCTGAGCTGAATGCTGTGGCATTGGATGGTCCGACATCAAGGAAAATCGCTCATCGCCGGCGACAGGCGGCGGCGGCATCGTCTCCGACTTTGTATTCGGGAGGGGCGTCTCCGTTTGGCGTCGGTGAGCGACCTCGGTCTGACCGCCGGACTGTGAGCGTTACTCCGCTGCCCGCGGCGTCCCGGGCCGCCGGTAACAGGGTTAACGCTGCACTGCGCGTCGGCAGGGCGGGGCCGGCCGCGTCCCCCGCCGCGCCGTAACGTGGTTATCGCTGTGACAGACAGACACAGACAGGCAGAGAGCCGGACAGACTGAGTGGGCCGGCCGACGGGCCCGGCCCGCCCCGGGCGTGTTAGGCGTTCACCCTTAAATCTCTCTCTCTCTCTCTCTCTCTCTCTCTCTCTCTCTCTCTCTCTCTCTCTCTCTCTCTCTCTCTCTCTCTCTCTCTCTCTCTCTCTCTCTCTCTCTCTCTCTCTCTCTCTCTCTCTCTCTCTCTCTCTCTCTGTCTCTCTCTCCCTCTCCCTCTCCCTTTTCCTCTCCCTCTCCCTGACTCCCCCTTTCCTCTCTCCATCCTCTGCAGCCTGCCTAGCCTCGAACTCCTGTGTGTCTCCACCGGTCTAACGACGTAGCGTTTATGACCCGCCCGGGTCCAGTTGGAGCTCAGCCACATCGCATCTCATTCCACAGCGGCGGGATGTTTGTGTTTGAATGTGTGGCCCCGTCTGATTGCAACGGCCCCTCGGTGACGCACTTTGCACCCAGGCCACTGGGAATAGAGGTCAAACTGAACTGCAGTATCAGATCAGTTTTCGGGCTTGGTTTGAAATCGAATGGTCCTCTAGAGGTTTCGACGGATGAACTGCGTTATGTGGGTTGACAAAGTGTTTTATTGGGTGTTCAGTAGGCATACCTTTGCACATCTCCACCTCTTTGTATAATGTGACGTCGTTGAGCCCTGGCCTCGTGTCTGATTTTCGGTGTGGGCGCCCGGCCACATTTTCCAGTCGAATGTCGCCCGTGCCGGCGTCGGCGACCACTCTTCTCGGCGGTGTTTTATAGGGTGGTCGGTGGTAGCGGCCTCTCCCAATCAGGAGCGCCAGATTGGACGCGTCTGTATTGACACGGCTGGCTCGCGGAGCAGGCCGGACGGGTGTGCCGTGAGGTGGGGCTCTCTAGCAGTGGTCGCATCTCGCGATAAAGTTTGGACACGAACAGTGTTCCAATATTGAATTTAATCTTTAATTGATTTGTCCAGCACTAGTTCTCGATCTTCAATTTTTGTGTTAAATTATGCGTGATATCAATCACCAACTGCAATCCATGAATCCTAAGTTTTACTGCTGTTGATGACGGAAGTAGACGTTTCATAGAACTGGAAATAGGTACCCTGGGTAATATTTTATTTTGTATTGGCCTACTTATCCCGTATGCTGCTTCTATTGTTAAACAGGTGTCCTTTTCATAATTTTTATATGCATCGGGCAATTACCGACATAGTCCAAGTCATGTAGTAATACGATATATGTAGAAATAGCTCTCGGTGGGAAAAGCTCTGATTACGCGCATTCCTCTGATGAACATTCACGATACCGATGACGGTGTCTTGTCCTGATCCTCTCTCAGGAAGAAACGCGCCTTCAATCCGGCCATTGTGTAATGCATCCCCAATGTCGGCGCCACAGTCAGCGGCGCCAGCCCGGTCCCGACTGCATTAGACCCCGTCCTGCAGCTCGGCTTTCTTCTGTGGTCGATCTAATACCAACATATAGAGGACAGGCGACAGTCCGGATTGAATAATTGTAGCGGATCTGGCCCGTTTGCTGCCCTGATGATTCACAAAAAGTGACACGATACGATGGCGGTTGCATATTCACAAAAAAATTGAACAATTTCATCTTATCTTGTGGTGAACTAATTTTTGGTACTTGTAATAGACACCCTGATGAAAAGATATAGCAATAAATGTCAAAAGCAATTTAATTCATTTCAATGCATTTTGATGAGTTGTTCAGTTGGCGCTAGCTCATTAATTATGAAACATAATTACGCTCTCACGAATTTGCAAATGTCATTTACATCTGTTGACATATCTTCATTCCACTCGTTGGTGTGCTATAAGCTTAACATATTGGAGCAACGTAACTACCTAATTAAGGAAACGCGGAGTGGCGAATTAAAGTGAGCATATCATGCATATGGTGGGGTGACTATCAATCATCAAAACATGGTTCGTGGCAAATGTGCATACCTATACGGTATGCATACAAAGGAGCGCTCATTGACATGCTTTTAGCCTGGTAGTTGGGTTTAACAAGTCGGAAGCTTATTATTTTGATGAAAATTTTTGCGCCTTTATATCCCATCCATCGCTCATCGAAATCTTCACGATGCCTGCAATGCTGATCATTGATCAATATATCGCAGCTTCCATTCCGATTTCCGAACCACAAGACCATTAGGTACAATTAGGTACCGAAACCGAACCGTTAGTCATATATGTAGTAAAACACACAAAAGTTTCAGTGAACGCATCGTGGTACTGTTGCAGAGAAATCGGTAGCGAATAATCGAGTGCGGAGTGACCCTCACCTCACTAACCACGCCGCGACAATTCATTCCGTCCTCGCTCCCATCTCCGTCGAGATTTGGTCGGAGCGGAGGGTAGGCTGTTCCGCACGGCAGCTCTGCGCTGCGGTACAGCCTACCTTCCCGTTACTCGGCCGCGCCGCTACTCTGCTGCCAGCGCCGAGTCCGATGTAAGTGACAATCTAAGTGGGGCGTACTTACTACCTACCCGCCTACTTACGACTTGGCTGCAAGGGTCTTGCAAAGACCCATTTTTATGCCACCTTTGCTTGTTTCGGGTTTCATTTTCCAGGTGGTTTTTATAGGACATTCATTTTGCTGGCTCGTTGACGACATGGCTCGACCTTTTAAAATGACTCAATTTGATGTCACCCTTTGAAGGGGAGCAAAGAGTTGCCTACCATTGAAAACTGGGCCGGGTCGCTGTAAATGTTTTCGCCTTTTGTCGCTGGCCTGGCAGTGATGGCGGACGCACGGTCGGACGTCGCGCTCTTTGTGCCAGTATTGGGCCAATATGTGTCAGGTTTCGGGGTACGCCCAGAGGGGACACCCGAGCCTGTGACACACAGCGCGCAGCGGCACTGGCACGGCCGACGGTGGTGGCCGCTGCCGGGACAGCCGCTGGAACGGCACAGCGCATCCGACTCTGAACGGCGGCGATAATAGTTCTGAATGGCGACACAGCGCTGCGCGTAAACATGCTGGCAAAAGATTGGCTTAGTGCGAAGCTGAGCGGAAAATAGGGACTTTTCGTATAGTCGGCTAGTAGTGGTACATTGCTGGGAAGATTGCTGTTGTTAAGCTTCTTAGCAATACGGCAACTCTAAATAAACGGCTTATTAAACTCTGTTAACGTCCTTATTGACATTCGCATTCCGACAGCGTCGTGTTGAGCTGAGTTCCATTTGTTGATAAACTGGCGAGAGCCGTGGCATCGGCCTACGATGGAGCCTTTCATCTGACTGGCACAGAGCGCAGGCGGTGACCTGCGGCGGGATCGGCCTCACCAGAGCAGAGCACAGGCGGTGATCTGCTGCGGCGGGGTCCCTGGCCTCACCAGAGCAGAGCGCAGGCGGTGACCTGTGGCGGGATCCTAATTCCGGCGATGACCTATGGCGGGTCCTTATTCCGAGTGTCGCAGAGCACAGGTGGTGACCTGTGGCGGGATATTTATTCCGGCGGTGACCTGTGGCGCCGTATCTGTCGAGCAACAGGTGACCGGTGGCGCAGTTAGCTGGGGTAGGTACTCGGCAGTCGGTCCGGGACGGCCGGCTCGTGAACAGCCATTTCCCGTCTGACCGGGCGCGGAGTGGTCCCTGGGGCGCACTCATGGCACAGGGCAGTGCTGACGGCAACTCGGACCCGAGGGCGGGCAGTCACTGGCGGACGGAGCACTTCCACTCTCTCTCTCTCTCTCTCTCTCTCTCTCTCTCTCTCTCTCTCTCTCTCTCTCTCTCTCTCTCTCTCTCTCTCTCTCTCTCTCTCTCTCTCTCTCTCTCTCTCTCTCTCTCTCTCTCTCTCTCTCTCTCTCTCTCTCTCTCCTCTCGCTCTGTCACTCTCACTCTCACTCTCACTCTCACTCGCACTCGCACTCGCACTGTTTTCTCAGCCCTCCTCTCCTATCATATTCTGTGCAGAACTTATTTCATCCTTGTTAACTCGGTAATTATGGGCAAAAGTTAAAAGAACGTTTTCAAATGTATGTTATTTGTTATAAAATGGTTTCCATCCAAATTCGAGGAGCCGTTTAAAGGCTCTCGCGCAACACAGCGCTTTAAGGATTTTGAAGCACGCTACTGTTTGCATTAGTTTTTTCTTTCAGTGCATTTTTAGCTGTAACCCCACTTGAAGACAGGTCGAATAAGTAATGTTGCGATGGCTTTTAGCTCTGCCTAATGTTAATTGGAGTTCCTGTAACAGTTTGTTTCAACAAGCTAAGTTCTAAACCTTTGAATTTGCTAATTAGCAAGCTATTTGCTGAAGTTAAGCCGAGTTTGTTCCGGAGGCACTGATCTGCACCGTCCGCATTGGCTATTTCATAATTGCCGAACTCGTTTAAAAGTCTACACTTGTTTCCAATGTCCGTTCAGAAATCAGAAGGAAACCTTCCAGCACACTCCCCGACTTGACACTGTCGCCTCCCTATTACCACACGCCTATTATCACACGCCTTTCGGCCCTACCGCGACCGTAGCGCCACGTGGAGATCTTAAGATCTCTGGAGATCTTAAATAGACCCACTGTACGTTATGCATCAACAGTCAACACATTTAAAACTTCGACGTTGTTGAAGCCTTCTAGAATAGAAGTTTATATGATGACGACTGGCCCTAAAAAGTTCTGACAAATATCAACGCCTGGCGTCCGCGTAGGATTGCGCTTTGACGTGTTTTCTCTCTTGTAGAAAGTATTTGCAAGAGCATCGCAGCTATGGCTTTGTTTTTATATGCATAAAGCTGCTTTTAGTTCATTGGTCCGATCAAAATGTTGACTTTTCGGACCGGCGCTGTGACGTGATCGTTATATTACGAACTTGGACTTTCACTGGGTAGTCACTATTGGTGTTTCGCGTGCTCCACTTTCATTTGTCGTCCGCTGCTCCTGGACAGTTGATTGGTGGTGTTGTGGCGTCCGCTTTGTCTGTCGGAGACTCCTTTCTGATGTTCAGCCTTTCTGTAATCATATTTCAGCGCAGCCGAGTAAATGGAGAGCCACAAATCGCTCGGCGCGGGATGTAATTTATGAACAATGGATCAAACCGGGCACTTGAGGCCTAGCGCGCTGCATTTCGGCGATGAATAATTCGGCGAACCATCATGTGTCGGGTCGACCTGACACGACCTGGTGGTTGGAGCGCCGAGCTGAATACCGTCGGCAGCTTTCCTCTGCGAAACAGATCAGTCATGTCATACAGCCCTCCATCGAACAGCCATCCTGATAAAAGCATTGATCTATTTGTCCTCTGCATCAAATTGAAATGAAATGTCAAGTCACGTCCGCCGATGACCCCCGTAGTCCTGGGCGCCCTAAACCTCAACCTCAACATCAAGTCACGTCTTGTTCTGTTTACTTCCGCTTTTATGTCCCTATTTTTTGTTAAAGATTCTATGATAATAGATGTGTCGGTTTTGCATTCTTCCTTGCGAAGGATATCCAGGATTCTTCATTGCCAGCAATATTTCTCTTCGCCTGATGTCAGTCGGACAGCTCCGCGTCTCACGTCATGTCACGACTCTTCACTGGACGTGACCTGTGCGTCACGTTTCCATTCATGGCACGTCACGCGCCGATTAAATTTGCCGTCGGCGCTGTGACCCGTTCCACTGCCGTCGCTGCTAGTGTCGCTGCCGACGTTTGAGGCCAATATGTGCTGGACGCCGTGCTATGTATCGACTGCCGACTGGACCGCACGACCTAGTCCCAATGTGGGCAGCACTGATCGTACTTAGCTGGTGTCCGTGCCACCGCCACCGACCCCTAGGGGCGGAGTGGACTAGCTACTACATAGCTTACACGGAAGTTTCCACGGACAATGTATGATAGTTTATCGCAGCAAGATGATGTGTTGCAAAGGAACTAACCTGCACATGTGCGAGTGGTGAACGGGCTCGGTCTGAAATGTTGTCCCGTGCGCTTGATAGTTGTATTTCCTCTGAGGTTCTTGGCTATTCAGACCTGCCTGCAAGGCTATATCTCCCCGACTAAAATGACAGTCTAGGGGAAGCGCGGTACAGCTAATGGGGTTTCTTTCTCAAAGGATTCATACATTTTGAAGATAGTGAGGAGGTATTCTGTTGTGCATTAGAGGAGTTTCGCTCCACAGTACCGTTATTACCGATTTGTTTGCCGGCAACTGGCTTCGAGTCCATCGCTCTACTAGAGCTTGGGGTCACTAGGGAATTCTTGAGAGGAGTTTTAGGGGTCAATAAGTCCTAGTCCAAATTTTTGACGTCACTGACCACTGTTGACGTTTTTCTTTTCTTTTTGTCATCGGTTGTTTTGTCTGTATTGATCATTTTAAGCAGCAGGTCGGAGCCAGTTGATGGGACCTGATCATTATGTTGGGTGAGGCAATTTGGCTGCTCAGTAGTCACCGAAGCGCCGGCGGCCGGTGTGTTCCGTGCCCTGCTCGGCGACTCTCAGAGGGACAGTCGGTCGGTGGCGTAGCTCGCCTCGCGCTCCGGGGATGGCGTGGCTCGCCTCGCGCGCAGGAGGGATAGAGTAGCTCGCCTGGCGCTCAGCTTATCGCCGGATGTCACCGACAGTCCCCGGTCGGACAAACGACCCGCGCACCGGCGTCGCTCGAGGACTGTGTCGTATCGTAGCCGACCACGGGCCGCGTCTCCTCGAACGGAGCCCCGGACGGAAACGCGACAGAGTGGACACTATCTTCACTCCTTGGAGTGGGCGCCTAGAGGTCAAGGTGGATATAACATTGGGCAGCGCTTTTGCTGCTAAGTTAAAAATGCCTGCTACAAGTGCCTCACAGACCTTCTTTGTCGGCCAAGTAGTGAAGCACCATATTACTTATTGCAAGGGCATATGATTAAGGACATATTATGTTACAAGGACTTCCCCTGTTAGGTACCAGGCTGTTGGGAAGCAGTTGAGTGGGTTTATTTGCTCCGTCTCTTGAGCTCATCAGCTTCGTCGTTTTCCTAATAAATCCTAGGCCCTTGGTAACCGCCCTGAGGGGTGCTCCCGCCTCTCTGCGTTTTCGGTTCATTGGCGTTCTGTTGTGCAGCTCGAATTTCCCTGTCTAATTGCTCTCCTCGGTCCATTTTCCAGGCCTCCGTTGGCGTTACGGGAGCGTGCTCGGTCGGCACGGGGCTGCCCCGCGGTGGGTCGGGTAGTGTTTCCCCTCTGACTCCCCCCCCCCCCGTCATCCCCACAGAGTCGGACGGCGCCTTCTGCGGCAATAAGATCGTCGAGGATGGCGAGGAGTGTGACTGCGGCTTCGACGACGCCGAGTGCACCGAGAGCTGCTGCTACCCGAACCAGGTGTCGGAGTCGGACCGGCGGAGCAACGCCTCGGCAGAGGGCTGCCGTCGGCGCCAGCACACCCAGTGCAGGTGCGCACCCCGCCCGGGCTCCTCACGCTCCTCTGATGAGCCTTGTATCGCACTATACCGTGGGCGGAGATTGTGTGGCGTTATGATTTGTTTTAAATAGAGGGATTAAAAGTATTTAAAGTCTGTAATCCGCTATGAGAGGTAGATGGGCGGACAAGCCAGCGGCGAACGCCTGGTCTGGCGTATGCTTTTTGGCCTGGTTGTCTCATTATACAGAGGCCGATAGTGCTAATACGACGCCTCAGCGTGGTGCTGCTGCTTTCCCATTAGTGTAGGATCACCGGGATCAGATGAAGCCACCTCGCTGATGGTTCCATAAACCCTTACTCGGCAGATTCGGGAAACCCAGTGTGGCGCGCGACAAAACTGCGCAGACTTCTCAATATTCTGAACACAAGCTTTATCCTGGTCCTAAAATGTAAAACACAAGCCATTATGTATTCTGAGACGCGATTAGAATGGGCTTTCTGTAATCCCGAGTTCCGCTTGTTGTCAGAATGCTTGGTAGCTTTGTCTGGGTTTGCGTTTGTTATCTGTAGGGTGGGTGTCGGCCTGTGGTCCCTGCGTGTCCCTACCCAAGTTCCCACTGACGTCATTTTGTTGTGCCGTTGACAGTCCGAGTGAGGGTCCGTGCTGCGACCGGCGCTGCTCGTTTGTGGCCACCTTCGAGCGGCTGCGGTGTCGCTCAGAGGACAACTGCACGTACGACTCGTACTGTGACGGCTACCGGGCCAGCTGTCCGGCGCCGCCGCCGCGACCCGACATGACCGAGTGCAACAGCGGCACCAAGGTAAGACTCGGCGGCGGGACCGGCGGAGACGGTTCCGGCCTCTCACCGGGGCGATCCATTTGTATAACCGGAGTATGCAAGTTTCATGGAGCATACTGGAAGGCGTTGCAATACATTTGCATTATTTTCGTTTGAGTGAAACTTGCATGTTGTGTAATTGGGTCTGTCCGTCCGGCCGGGTCGGTTGGGAGCTCTGGCAGCCAGTCCGCCGGGTCTCGTTCCATGAACTGTGGCTCCATCGCGGAGTGTATGGCTGCTGTACCCGGCCGCGGCCGCCGCTGCTCGGCCCATCGGTCACTGCGCGTGGCTGCCCGTCTGGTAAGGCGGCCCCGATCGGCCCACTGCGGAGGCACTCGGCACTCCAGTCGACCAGCGCTCCACTCCAGAAAGACGAGACGAATCAGAGAAAAAGAGAAAGAGTTATCTGACAAGATTACAGACGCAGCTGCTAGGTTAACAATAGCAAGATCGGAAGAGAATTATATTCGCTTGAAAACACTTAAGGAGGAGCTTGAGGAAATGAGAAAACCCACTATTAATGGCCTGATCGTCCGATCAAAAACAAAGTGGCACGAAGAGGGCGAAAAATCGACAAAGTATTTTCTTGGACTTGAAAAGAGAAATGCCATGAAAAAAACTGTAACATCTCTTGCAATTCAGGGCAAAAAAGTATCAAAGACATCCGCAATACTAAACGAATTTACTCGAGACATGTCGAAGAAATATAATAAACCGCACATATTGCTGCCATCAATGACCAGCTACCTCACAATGACTTCGTCAAATTCACTAAGTGCACATGAAAACGCACTGCTAGATAAACCCATAACGTTTGATGAACTGACAGACGCTTTGCGCAAAATGAAGAAAGGAAAGTCACCCGGCTCGAACGGATATACAGCGTGTTTTTTCAGAAAATTTTGGGACAAATTGGGACCGTTTTTGTATAGAACTCTAATTTTCTCTTACGAGCAAGGTAAGATGCCTTCGACTCATCGAGAGGGTATCATCACTATGATCCCCAAAGCTGGAAAATCGCCCAATAGTTTAAAAGGATGGCGGCCGATAACATTATTAAATGTAGATTTCAAGATCATATCAACAGCTATTGCAGTCAGATTTCAAAAAGTAATAGATAAATTGATCGATCCCTGCCAGACGGCATATATCAGAGGCCGTTTTATTGGAGAAAATACACGTTTAGTATTTGACGTCATTAGTAAGCTGTTGGAAAACGAAAGTCCAGGATTAATTATGTCTGTCGATTTTGAGGCGGCATTCGATTCTATATCTTGGCAATTCATAGACAGAGTCTTAGAAAAGTATAACTTTGGTCCGGTTTTCAGAGAGACTGTTAATCTCTTATATCTCAATGGCGAAAACTTCTCACGAATTTTACTAAACGGCTACTTAGGGGATAAGATAACGCTTAATTCCGGAATTCGACAGGGAGACCCAAGCTCCGGTTATTTATTTAATTTGGCGGTCAATATATTGGCAATAAAAATTAAGGAATCCAAACAGTTGAGGGGCATCACGCTAACAAATCATGTCGAAATACGAATTTCGCAGTACGCCGACGACACCGTATTATTTCTCGAGGACGCAAGGTGTGTGAAAGAAGCCTTGAATGAATTAAAAATCTTCTCCGAAGCATCTGGGTTATACATTAACATAGACAAAACAACGTGTCTCCCAATAGGGCCGTTTCAAGAGAATATGGAAGACATCCATGGTGTTAAATGCGTCAGTGATATGAAAATATTGGGTATTGTTTTTAATAACCAAAGTACCAATATAACTAGTGTCAACTTGGAGCCAAAGCTATTGCAATTGCAAAAAGAAATGGCACAGTGGCGTAGAAGAAACTTAACTATTCTCGGAAGGATCACGGTAGTGAAGTCTTTATTCATAGCAAAATTTGTGCATTTATTCACAGCCCTGCCTAACCCAACACAGATTAACTTGAAACGTCTCAATAATTTATTGTACTCATTCGTATGGGCAGGTAAGAACGACCGTATCAAGCGTGCCAAATTATCCCAAAGCTATAAAGACGGAGGTTTAAAGATGGTTGACATCCAAGCGTTCATAATGAGCATGAAACTCACATGGCTCAAAAGATTAGTAAGTAGTCGGGCTCCATGGGTTAACATCTTTGCTTTAGAGGTAACAAACATACAAGATATTTTTTCATATGGAAGTAAATATCTGAACAAAATAAGTAGTAAAGCGAGCAACCCGTTCTGGAGAGATGTATTGGGCGCATTTGCATATTTCACTAGCATATACCGACTAGATACGCCAGAAATAATGTCTGAAAACATATGGTTTTCAGACTATACCAAATTTACATGCTCCATCATAAAAAGTTGGCAAACAAAAGGTTTACGATTTCTGGGCGACTTGATTGACGAAAATACGGGGCGGTTGCACACAAAAGAGAGCTTACAGAGAGCGTATCACATAAAGATGACCATTCTCTGTTATACCAGCTTGATTCGAAGTTCCATGAAGTCAGAAGTAATGGACAAAATATGTCAACCGACGATTCCATTCAGAATGAATTTGGTAATGAACGAGGCTAATTTCTCTCGTTTAGCCTACACTAAATTAGTACAACATAGAAAGATAGAGCTAAGAGAATCTGACGAAAGACAAAAACAGAAATGGATAAGAGATGTTGGATGCTATGACGAACATAGCTGCCTTGAGGTTAATAACGCCACAAAGTCAACACACATAAGGATTTTCCATTATAAGCTCGTTAATCGTATCCTCGCTACAAATAAATATTTAAATATAATAAAAATAAAAGCTAGTGAAAGTTGTACTTTTTGTAACATGGAGCCGGAAACACTAGCTCATCTGTTCTGGTACTGTCCGATAACAAAGCAGTGTATCAACGCGGTGAAATCGGACATATTGGACAAATACAACATCAACTTAAGCTTAGATCCTAAACTGTGGTTTTTTCCCAAAGACATAAGCGCAAGAGAAACATGCATAATAACATTAGCAAAGCTAGTCATTTATTCAGCACGTATGAAAGAGATCTCACCAAATATTATTCACTTACACAACAAAATAAAACAAGAACTTGAAGTAGAAAGCAAAGCAGCTGAACATACCGGCAAGCAAGACTACTTCAAAAAGAAGTGGGGGTCACTCATAAATATGGGTGACCGACAAAGAAACCAAAACTCAACAAACTAGGAAAATCATCGGTGACTAATAATCAAAAGTCAGCACACTACACATATAGCAGAAACACAAAATAAAATTGGAATACCTACTACAGCCATGTGCAGCGAGCTTCGTCGGTTTGTTGGGCGGGGCAGGGCATGCAGTCCCGATATTTGATTAAACAGGTGACCGCACGAAGGTCCCGTGTACGCTGCCGCCGCCGCGCCCGTCGTCTGGTCGGCCGGGCAGCTGCCGCCGCCGGCGGCGCCGCCGTCGCCGCCACGCACTACGGACGATTGTGTCAGTGTTTCTGCTAACTATGTTGTTTAGATCTTCATCTCTGGGTTTATGATTTGTCATATCCATGCTTTTGTCACTGTTTCGTTGTGGTTAAAGAGTATGTGGTCAGTCAGAGAGCGCGTGCGAGAGAGACCGGCGCGTAGAAGGAATCGGTCCGGTGTCCAGTCCGGTATGGGGCCATGAGGTCAGCTCGTAGGCAAATGCTATTTTGTTATGGATGTTATATTATGTTGGCTAGTTTGGTGCGGAGTGAGCGGAAGACAGGGGCCAGGAGCTTTTTGAGGGCGCTGGAACGTCGTGCGTTTGTGACATGAGATCATGTAAAATGTGGTTTGTCGTAATAAATGATGATGTATGAAAAAAAAAGACCAGCGCTCCACCCGGGCTGGTGCGGGGTGACGCGGCACTCCAGTCGACCAGCGCGCCACCCGGGCTGGTGCGGGGTGACGCGGGGCTGCAGAGCTGGGCCTGCGCTCTGACTGGGCCTTACCTCTGGCTAGCACCAGTCTGTGGCCGGGCTGACCGTTGCCAGGGCTGGCCACTCCGCCGCCCGTCCAGTGCGCAGTACGGTGTGCTGCTGACATGGTCCGATTACGGCTTTAAGAGCTTTGCTGAGGGGTGTCGTGACAAGCAACTTGTCGCGAGTGGTATTCGCATCGAACTGCCCATAAGACGAAGTTGTGTTGCGTGCTTCAGAAAGTTTGTTAATTACACTGGCCGCAACTGCGGAGTTAACGCGGGGATTGCTTGCGAAGGGACTTTTTCAGCTAGCTATTAAAAGTAGATGTGTTTGGGCGTATGGCGTTGCCCTCGCGAATGATTTGTACATACCAAAGGATTGATAATCACGCATTTATGTAATAAGTTAATAACTGTAGTAAATATGTTAGTTTGTCGGAATCGATCGTTCAGGTCCGGTTGAAACCTTTGAAACGCTACGCTTCAGTGACATTCGCCGGCTGTTTGAAATTGGTGGTTAATATTTCATCTGGACTTATTGCATCGCTGATATTGGTGAATCTTTTCCGCTCTTACACCGACTCACCCGGATTTCGCTGATAATGTTTTATACGACGAACCAATAGATCGCTTTTATTGACAACATATCTTCATTAGTGCGGATCCGGTGCCGCGGTTGGGGGATATTATGTGAACTACGCGTATACTGGAGCAGCGCTCGGCAAGGGCGAGTTCAACGTACCCAATTTTCTTGCTAATTTATTCAGTCCCTTGTAAACGCGAAGTTTCATGTCGATCTCCTTTGTGTCATACAGTCGTTATACGCTGTGCGTGATGCGTAGCTGCGTGTGCGTTTCAGTGCGTTGGGCGCGCCATTCACGCTTTGGCCGATTCGTTTTCCCGGGGTCGGGGATGTGCCTCCCTTTTCCTACTCTCTCACTCCGCTAAAAGGTCTACTCAGCGTGTCCCACAGCGCTCCGGGAGCCGTGCCATGCGCGACGGACTGGCACCGGCGCTGCTTGCGTCATGCAGCAGACGCGCCAGAGCGTACCCTG